AAGGGTGGCAATACCATGGGCCCACTACACTAGCCTTACGACCTCCCCCCCATGACCCTCGTTTGGGTCAGGACCCCCATGGTTACAACACCGTGAAATTTAAGATTTCAACATCTGAATCAGTGAAATGCAAGATTTTTAAAATGCTCAGACTGTGAAATTGACCAAAATGAACCTTGAATTTGGTAGGGCCCTAGATATAGAACTAAGGGGCACTTGGGAAAGGGGGAGGGTTTGTTCATTTGGAGGGAGTGGAGGGAAGGTTGTGGGGGAGCTGGAGCTGCTGGGATCCTACCCCATTAACACAGAGTCCCTACAGACCCCTCGCTGATTTAGGAGCTACACCCCATTCCTATTGCTGCCCAGTTTCACTTTATCTACATTTTCAAATATCGTTTTCACTCTTCTTTCTCCATTGCTGAGTGCCTACCCCCACACCACACTCACCTCTTCCATTCCTCCCAGCAACAAGATGACCCCTTCCCTGGTGAAAAGGGGTCTTTCTTGGCTGTGTCCTACGTTGGGAGTAATTCTGGGGATGCAGAAGATTGTCCTTCCTCCTCCCTATCTGTAGCAGCCCCGATCTCTCTTGGCTCTTTGAGTCAGACCCGCCTGATGTCACATGGCCCAATTCCTATTAGAATCATAGAATATCAGGGTCGGAAGAGACCTCAGGAGGTCATCTAGTCCAACCCCCTGCTCAAAGCAGAACCAACACCAACTAAATCATCCCAGCCAGGGCTTTGTCAAGCCGGGCCTTAAAAACCTCTAAGGATGGAGATTCCACCACCCTAGGGAACCCATTCCAGAGTTTCACCACCCTCCTAGTGACATAGCTTTTCCTAATATCCAACCTAGACCTCCCCTACTTCAATTTGAGACCATTGCTCCTTGTTCTGTCATCTGCCACCACTGAGAACAGCCGAGCTCCATCCTCTTTGGAACCCCCCTTCAGGTAGTTGAAGGCTCCTATCAAATCCCTCTTCACTCTTCTCTTCTGCAGATTAAATAAGTCCAGTTCCCTCAGCATCTCCTTAGAAGTCATGTGCCCTAGCCCCCTAATCATTTTCATTGCCCTCCGCTGGACTCTCTTCAATTTGTCCACATCCTTTCTGTAGTGAGGGGCCCAAAACTAGACACAATAGTCCAGATGTGGTCTCACCAGTGCTGAATAGAGGGGAATAATCACTTCCCTCGATCTGCTAGCAATGCTCCTACTAATACAGCCCAATATGCCATTAGCCTTCTTGGCAACAAGGGCACACTGTTGACTCCTATCCAGCTTCTTGTCCATTGTAATCCCCAGGTTCTTTTCTGCAGACCTGCTGCTTAGCCAGTCGGTCCCCAGCCTGTAGCGGTACATGGGATTCTTCTATCCTAAGTGCAGGACTCTGCACTTGTCCTTGTTGAACCTCATCAGATTTCATTTGGCCCAATCCTCCAATTTGTCTAGGTCACTCTGGACCCTATCCCTACCCTCCAGCATATTTACCTCTCCTCCCAGTTTAGTGTCATCTGTGAACTTGCTGAGGGTGCAATCCATCCCATCATCTAGATCATTATTTTTTATATTCTCCTTTTCCAAAGAAACTAGAATCTGTTGCTCTTGAATTATAGCATCTAATTCCCCAGCCTTCTCCAGACCCTAGGGGATTTTCATACTCCTTCCCTTTTTGCCTGATTTACTAGAGTTCCTAATTGAATGGGTGGCACGTGAACCGCCGGCTCAGGGAGGCTAGCCCCCGCCCCTTCTGCCTGAGGTCCTGCCCCTTTTCCACTCCGGAGCCCAGAGGCCTCCAGGGGCCGCTGGCCCCTACCCCAGCCCTGGGCTACCCAAGCGCCTCCAGCCCCAGAGCGCCAGGTGATGCGAGCACTGGCTCTGGCCCTCCAGAGTCCCTGGCTGCAGCCTGGTCCCCCCCTAACCCCAGCCCAGGGCCTGGGCCACAGGGAAGAGCCCCAGAGCACTGGCAGGAAGCAGGAGGAGGCCTGGGGGCAGAGTGTTGCCTCAGCCTCTCCTGCCCTGTGATACCTGCCGCCCATGCCTCAATCCTCAAGATGTGCTTTCCTGACATCTAATAATACACCTGAGATACCGTGCTCACTCCCTCCTATTGCTTAGTCTGCTAACCCCCACCAACACATGCTCACTGTTCCCAGCTTCCCTGGGACTCTCTCTCAGAAAGAAGCAGGAGATTTCCTTTCCCACTGCCATCTTCCCTTTCTAGGCCGTGGAGTTAGTCTCTGTGTTTTAGGCCTCCCTTTGAGGAGATTGTCGGGCAGTGTGTTTTCCCAGCAGAGATAGGGTTAGTTAAATCCCTCTTTCAGCAGAGCCTCCAACATGTTTGAGCATGTAGAGCAGGGATGGCCAACCTGTGGCTCTGCAGAAGTTAATATGTGGCTCCTTGTATAGGCACCAACTCCGGGGATGAAGTTACAGGAGCCAACTTTCCAGTGTGCCAGGGATGCTCACTGCTCAACCCTTGGCTCTGCCCCTCTCCACCCCTTCCCGCCCCCTCCCCTGAGCCTGCCATGCCCTTGTTCCCCCCATCCCCGCCCCAAGCCTCCTGCATGCCATGAAACTGCTGATCGGCGGTGTAACGGTGCCCTCCATAAGGCTTCATGGAAATATGCTTATGAATGTATATATGACATAACTGGAATATGTTTTATGCTACATATGCTATGCCCAATCAAGAAACACTTAAAGGACAATGAATCTTGGAAGGCTCCTATCCACATAAGAAGTCTACCTGAGGATGTTCAGGGTAGGATGTAAACAGTGGCTGCTGCCTGTAAAAACTGTGGCTTGCCCATGTGACTCCAAAACTCCATCTTGGAGCTGGACTTTGCATACAAGAGAGGAGGGGGTCTCCACCCACAAGAGAAAGTCTATTTAAATCCTTGGGAACCCCCTCCATTTTGTCTTCAGCTGGCTCAAGAGATAGCCTCTCCACCTCTAAGGATACCTGAAAGAAACTGGAACAAAGGACAGTAACTACAGGGGGTGTGAGTGATTGCTGGACCCAGACTAGAAGGAGACTAGTCTGTAAAAGGAAGCCTGACTAACCTAATTGTCTTCTATGAGGAGATAACTGGGTCTGTGGATGAGGGGAAAGCAGTGGATATGTTATTCCTTGACTTTAGCAAAGCTTTTGATACGGTCTCTCACAGTATTCTTGCCGGCAAGTTAAAGAAGTATGGGCTGGATGAATGGACCATAAGGTGGATAGAAAGCTGGCTAGATCGTTGGGCTCAACGGGTAGTGATCAATGGCTCCATGTCTAGTTGGCAGCCGATATCAAGCGGAGTGCCCCAAGGATCGGTCCTGGGTCCGGTTTTGTTCAATATCTTCATTAATGATCTGGATGATGGGATGGATTACACCCTCAGCAAGTTTGCGGATGACACTAAGATGGGAGAGAGGTAGATATGCTGGAAGGTAAGGATAGGATACAGAGGGGCCTAGACAAATTGGAAGATTGGGCCAAAAGAAATCTGATGAGGTTCAACAAGGACAAGTGCAGAGTCCTGCACTTAGGACGGAAGAATCCCATGCACTGCTACAGACTAGGGACCGAATGGCTAGGCAGCAGTTCTGCAGAAAAGGACCTAGGGGTTACAGTGGACGAGAAGCTGGATATGAGTTGATAGTGTGCCCTTGTTGCCAAGAAGGCTAACGGCATTTTGGGCTGTATAAGTAGGGGCATTGCCAGCAGATTGAGGGACGTGATCATTCCCCTCTATTCGACATTGGTGAGGCCTCATCTGGAGTACTGTGTCCAGTGTTGGGCCCCACACTACAAAAAGGATGTGGAAAAATTGGAAAGAGTCCAGCGAAGGGCAAGAAAAAATGATTAGGGGGCTGGGGCACAGGACTTATGAGGAGAGGTTGAGGGAACTGGGATTGTTTAGTCTGCAGAAGAGAAGAATGAGGGGGAATTTGATAGCTGCTTTCAACTACCTGAAAGGGGTTCCAAAGAGGATGCATCTAGACTGTTCTCAGTGATAGCAGATGACAGAACAAGGAGTAATGGTCTCAAGTTGCAGTGGGGGAGGTTTAGGTTGGAAATTAGGAAAAACTATTTCACTAGGAGGGTGGTGAAGCACTGGAATGGGTTCCCTAGGGAGGTGGTGGAATCTCCTTCCTTAGAGGTTTTTAAGGTCAGGCTTGACAAATGATTTAGTTGGGAATTGATCCTGCTTTGAGCAGGGGGTTGGACTAGATGACCTCCTGAGGTCCCTTCCAACCTTCATATTCTATGATTCTGTGATTCTTACTGTATTAGACTCAGACTTGCGTGTTTTATTTTATTTTACTTAGTAATTCACTTTGTTCTGTCTGTTACTACTTGGAACCACATAAATCCTACTTTCTGTATTTAATAAAATCACTTTTTGCTTATTAATTAACTCAGAGTATGTATTAATACTTGGGGGGCAAACAGCTGTGCATATCTCTCTATCAGTGTTATAGAGGGCGAACAATTTGAGTTTATGGATTTATTTGGGGTTTGGGATTCCATTGGGAGTTGGGCATCTGAGTGTTAAAGACAGAAACACTTCTTAAGTTGCTTTCAGTTAAGTCTGCAGCTTTGGGGCACGTGGTTCAGACCCTGGGTCTGTGTTGGAGCAGACTGGCATGTCTGGCTCAACTAGACAGGGTGCTGGAGTCCCAAGCTGGCAGGGAAAGCAGGGGCAGAAGTAGTCTTTGCACATCAGTTGTCAGCCCCAAGGGGGTTTCTGTGATCCAACCCATCACAGGCGGGGCTGCCAGTGGGCAGGAGGTGCTGGGAGCGGAGGTGGGGGGAGCTTATGGTGGGCTGCTGATGTATTACGGTGACACGGTACATTCTGGCTCCTTTTCAGGCTCAGTTTTGCCACCCCAATCTAGGGAGCTCACACCAGCATATTGCAACTTCCAAATGGGCTGGTTAAAATAATAGAATTTTGTTGTGTGACAAATCTCTTACAAACCCACCGGATTTCCTTTCCCTCTGCAGAGTTTCCGCTTTTCAAAACTGATGCGATCTCCCATCTGAAACAAGAGGATGAGCCAGGGGTCCCAGATCTCCATGATTCAGAGGAAAGAGAGATCCTGAGAGGTGCCTGCATAGGTGAGAAATCATTAAACTAATTCAAAACCTGTCCGTGTCTGAAGGACACAGCTTGGATTCCCGACAGAGACCTCGTGAGTTCTCCGAGTTCAGGATTGTCCCCAGCAGGTTTGTATTCTCAGGACAGATGTTGCTCATGACGTCCTACCCATCCTGAGTGACACCTGGCAGTAGCTCCCTCCTTGACTTCCCTTCCCCCTAAGTGTTTGGATGGGATTTACAGGAAGAACTGATCTCCCTCACCCCCGTGGGAAAGACTTTGGGGAAATTCAATTCCTGATTAATGTCCATCTCTCCAGCACTTATTTTGGTTTGCTCTCCCCTGTTTCTGAGGCGTCTCTCTCTATTCCAGCAGGTGATGGGATGGTGAGTGAGAACGAGGAGAAGAAACCTCTGCAGGAAGATGCTGAGCAAGTGGAACCATGCAGGGCCTTGCTGCAAAGATCTCAGGAGGACGTGTCCAGGAGTCATGAGCAGAGAGAAGGTTGTGAGAGTCAGCACAGGCCAGAGAGGAAGCAGGGAAACAAGCCAAGGGAGAAAACAAATAGCTCCATTAATTATTGGGGACCTCATGAGTACCTTGAGGTAACCATAGCCCAGCACAAAATCCACACAGCAGAGAGAAATAACCCATGCAGTGAGTGTGGGAAAAACTTCAGTAGACGCTCTGACCTTATTAAACATCAGAGAATCCACACAGGGGAGAGACCTTATGAGTGCTGGGAGTGCAGGAAAACCTTCACTCGCAGCTCAAACCTCATTGCACATCAGAGGATTCACACAGGAGAGAGACCCTATGAATGCTGCCAGTGTGGGAAAAGCTTCATTTGGCGCTCAAGCCTTATTACACATGAGAGAATCCACACAGGTGAGAGACCTTATGGGTGCTGCGAGTGCGGGAAAAAATTCATTGAGAGCTCAAAGCTTAGGAAACATCAGCGAATCCACATGGAAGACAGCCCCTTTGAATGCTGCGAGTGCAGGAAAAACTTCATTCAGAGCTCAGACCTCATTGCACATCAGAGGATCCACACAGGAGAGAGACCCTATGAGTGCTGTGAATGCGGGAAAAGCTTCGCTCGGAGCTCAGACCTTATGAGACATCAGAGGATTCACATGGGAGCCAGACCTTATGAGTGCTGTGAGTGTGGGAAAAACTTCGCTCGGAGTTCAGACCTGATTAGACATCAGAGGGTCCACACAGCCTAGAGACACTGTAGATGCTCTGAGTGTGGGAAAGCTTGTCTCAGAACTCAGCCCTTACTTATCATCAGAGAATTTGCAAGGGAATAAACACCACAAGAACTTTATCAAGGGCTGACAACAGGGTTTATTTGTTTTTTTCTTTACTAGTTTTTGCTAATTCCCTCTTAAAAGCTCTTTGAACTAGGTGGGTTTCCCATTTTTCTCTTTTGTAGCTCAACATTCTTTGGGATTAATCCTCTGCTCCAATCTATCAACTCCTTTGTTCTATGAGTCATGGGAACATGTCTCCCTATTAGCTCCAGGGGACGGGGTGACCTAAACTAGCTCCATCAAGAGAAAATTACCTGGCCCTCATCTCCACTCGGTTTCCCATGGCCTTAGCTAGCTTAATGTAAAACCACAACTATTCCTACAGTAAAGACATAGCCTGTCTCATAGTAGTTGGGGTGTCTAGCAGATTTACTCAGAACTTCACCAGTGCTCCATCAGTTTTCCTTGTCTAAACAACCCCGGAGCGTCTCATTTCTACTGTTCCTCCCACTGTAAAGGGATCGTTAGAGTCACCAAGTTCCCCTTTGGGAACCAATTCTCTTATTCCCATTTTTCTCACACTGCTGTGGATTGTGCTGAACATCAGTTATTTGTTGTACCATTTTCTCACTTAAAATATATTTAATTATAACAAAGTCTGTGACACCCAAAGACAATCAGGTGTGGCGGAGGGACAGTTTTTCCTAATATCCAACCTAAACCTCCCCCACTGCAACATGAGACCATTACTCCTTGTTCTGTCATCAGGTACCACTGAGAACAGTCTAGATCCATCCTCTTTGGAACCCCCTTTCAGGTAGTTGAAAGCAGCTATCAAATCCCCCCTCATTCTTCTCTTCTGCAGACTTCCCATCATCCCAGCAGTGTTTCCTTCTGTCTCAGCTGTATAGAGTTTATCTTCTTCATATTCTATCCCTCCACCTTCCATCGTTTCCCAAGACACAGTGTTCTGAGCTCTCCATGCTTGGGAATCATGGTTCAATTTCTTTGATCCTAAATCAGACTCATTAGGTTTGGAGGTGAAAGTGTCCCGGAAGGAGATTTTTTAATGGATCTAAAACCATGTGATCATTCTTAGTTTAAACTCCCATTTTTCATCTATAGGCAAAGCCACTTCTTGTCTTTTTCCTTCTGAGTTGGGATTGTTTTAAGATGGGAAGGCTGATTGTTTTTTCCCATTATGATGATGCTAAAACTTTCCTAAATCACATGACTCAGTAACTGTGAGACAGCATGGAGTGGGAGGGATAGCTCAGTGGTTTGAGCATTGACCTGCTAAACCCAGGGTTGTGAGGGGGCCACCTAGGGATCTGGAGCAAAAAATCAGTACTTGGTCCTGCTAGTGAAGGCAGGGGGCTGGACTCGATGACCTTTCAAGGTCCCTTCCAGCTCTATGAGATAGGTATATCTCCATATTATCTCGAAGCAGGTTTTAAAGGATGAGAGGAGATGATGATGGGAGAATCTGTTGTCCTGATTCTGAGTCATCAGGGGTGTCCTGCTCTGGAATTTAACTTTCTGTGGAACCAAAAGATTCTTACCCCTAGGTGAGAGGTGGGTTTTTCTCTCTCTCCAGAAGGCCGTTTGGTTACATAACTGGATATCAGTTTTGTTTGACTGAATGTAACAGATTTCCTGGGGACTTTGAGCCAAATGGTAAAAAAGATTTTATTTTTTTCTTTTGTTTTTGCTATTTTCCCACCCTGCCATGATGATATGGAGAAAGTCCAAATGCAGTTCAGTCAACAGGAGAGAATACTCCAAGTTATTGGACATGCTAACAAAGACATAGCAGTGTGTTTAATTCTCTGCTCTGAAATCGTGATCTACAGCAGACTCCAAACTGTGCAACTAACTGAAGCAAGTGCAGATCATCACAGGGATGTTCAATTGTTTAGGTCAATATTGTCTCAAACGATCCATGGAGCGTAAGTGACATGGAACTGTGCCAAATCCCCTTGTATTTGGTTCTCAAACTGGTTGGGTCCCAGGTCCTACAGGAGGTTACTCCTGAAGATCTCACCTGGCTAATCTTGTGAATTGGGACATAGACTCATAGACTTTATAGACTCATAGACTTTAAGGTCAGAAGGGAACATTATGATCATCTAGTCTGACCTCCCGCATGATGCAGGCCACAAAGCCGTCCCAACCCTTTCCCTTGACTCTGCTGTTGAAGTCCCCAAATCCTGTGGTTTAGAGACTTCAAGTAGGAGAGAATCCTCCAGCTAGTGACCCCTGCCCCATGCTGCGGAGGAAGGCGAAAAACCGCCTCTGCCAATCTACCCTGGAGGAAAATTCCTTCCCGACCCCAAATATGGCGATCAGTAGAACCCCGAGCATGTAGGCAAGATTCTCCAGCCAGACCCTCATTGGCCATTGATACTATTTACCAACGATGGCACA